GACCCCAAGAACACCATCCTCACCGTCAAACATGGAGGTGGAAACATTATGCTTTGGGGGTGTTTTTCTGCTTAGGGGACAGGACAACTTCACCGCATCAAAGGGACGATGAACGGGGCCATGTACCGTCAAATCTTGGGTGAGAACCTCCTTCCCTCAGCCAGGGCATTGAAAATGGGTCGTGGATGGGTATTCCAGCATGACAATGACCCAAAACACACGGCCAAGGCAACAAAAGAGAGGTTCAAGAAGAAGCACATTAAGGTCCTGGAGTGGCCTAGCCAGTCTCCAGTCCTAAATCCCATAGAAAATCTGTGGAGGGAGCTGAAGGTTCGAGTTGCCAAACGTCAGCCTCGAAACCTTAATGACTTGGAGAAGATCTGCAAAGAGGAGTGGGACAAAATCCCTCCTGAGATGTGTGCAAACCTGGTGGCCAACTACAAGAAACGTCTGACCTCTGTGATTGCCAACAAGGGTTTTGCCACCAAGTACAAAGTCATGTTTTGCAGAGGGGTCAAATACTTATTTCCCTCATTAAAATGCAAATCAATTTATAACATTTTTGACATGCGTTTTTCTGGATTTTGTTGTTGTTATTCTGTCTTTCACTGTTCAAATAAACCTACCATTAAAATTATAGACTGATCATTTCTTTGTCAGTGGGCAAACGTACAAAATCAGCAGGGGATCAAATACTTGTTTCCCTCACTGTACATCTGCAGAACATGAAGAACCAGTGGATTATACATCTAAAGAACATGAAGAACCAGTGGCATCTACATCTACAGGAGATTATACAACTTTTAAAGCCATTCCCCGTGTTTAGTGTACATGGCGTCCAACATGTTTGGAATCGACAGAAGTAAAGTTGAACTTACGAACAGACCTTTAAAACCTAACTCGTTTGTGAGTGGAGGAGCCCCTGTATTTGGCTATTTCTATACATTTCTACATGCTGATAAGCCACCCTGTGGAGCTATCATTTGTGAAAGAGAGCTATAAAGCTATGCATAGGCTCAGTGAACCTTACGTGGTAAAAAAAAACTAGTCTATGTTATTGAATTATTATTACAGGACATCTGTGAAAAAAGAGATTCATAACTCATCGGATTTCTTCCGGATAAATAAATATGATTCTGATCCTTGAAACTCGTGTGACAGACGATATCGCTAGTGGACATCCGTGATAAAGAGCTTGATAGCTCATCGGATTTCTCCCGTATAAATTAAAAACATATATGATTCTGATCATTGAAACTCGTGTGACAGACGATATCGCTATTGGACATCCGTGATAAAGAGCTTGATAGCTCATCGGATTTCTCCCGCGATAAATAAATATGACGATTCCGATCACGGAAACTCGTGTGACAGACGACGTCCTTGCCGGGCGCCGTCTGCGACAAAAAAAAAAAAGCTTCATCGCTCGTCGGATTTCCTCCTTTCGGGTCCAAAGCAAGACTCTGATTCTAAATACTTGGGAGATTCCGACCGTAAACACCGTTAAGAGAGTCTGCGACGAACCTCACCCAAGATGGCCCCCAGGTATTAACGTGGGGTTCAACCGTGCGGCCGCTGATGATGCAGATGATGATGTTGATGCCGCCTCCGCCGCTGCTGGTAATGATGATGGTGACGATGATGATGATGATGGTGACGATGATGATGGTGATGATGGTGACGATGCCGCGTTAATTGAGCGCCAGTTGACGAGACGGCGCGCTGGGGCAGGAGGCGTCGGAGTGCCGTGAACTCTGCTGCAGCTGCAGCAGCAGCAGCTGTTGTGTCGTAAGAGACTTTGTGTGTGTGTGTGTGAGAGAGATAGAGGGAGATGGAGGAGAGGGATGGGAGATGGGGAGCGGTGATGAGAGAGATATTGGGAGGGAGGGAGATTGAGAGAGATGATGATGATGAGATGGAGAGATGGGGCAGAGGGATGGGAGATGGGGAGAGGTGATGAGAGAGATATTGGGAGGGAGGGAGATTGAGAGAGACGTGGGGAGTAAGTGAGACGGAGAGAGATGATGATGATGAGATGGAGAGATGGGGCAGAGGGATGGGAGATGGGGAGAGGTGATGAGAGAGATATTGGGGGAGATAGATTGAGAGAGACGTGGGGAGTCAGGGAGACGGAGAGAGAGATGATGATGGAGAGATGGGGCAGAGGAATGGGAGATGGGGAGAGGTGATGAGAGAGATATTGGGAGGGAGGGAGATTGAGAGAGACGTGGGGAGTCAGGGAGACGGAGAGATGATGATGAGATGGAGAGATGGGGCAGAGGAATGGGAGATGGGGAGAGGTGATGAGAGAGATACTGGGGGGAGGGAGATTGAGAGAGACGTGGGGAGTCAGGGAGACGGAGAGAGATGATGATGATGAGATGGAGAGATGGGGCAGAGGAATGGGAGATGGGGAGTAAGAGACGATGAGAGAGAGAGGATCAGAGCAATCGGAGAGTATGAGAGATGGGAGATGATCAGAGATGGAGGGGAAGATGAAAGCGATGGAGAGAGGGTATGAGAGAGAGAGATGGAGAGTACGAGAGATGGGAGATCGGGAGAGACGATGAGAGGTTAGATAGATGGAGAGCAAGAGATATGGAGAGAGATCATGATGAGAGAAATATGGAGTAAGATGGGAGAGATTGAACGGAGAGATGAGTGAGAGACGGAGGGAGGGTGTGAGAGAGATGGGGAATGAGGGAGATGGCAGATGGGGAGAGATGATAAGAGATTGAGATAGATAATGAGATAGATTGAGCGGGGGGGGAGAAAGAGACGAGAAATGGGATGGAGACTGTGGAGAGAGATGAGATGGTGAGAAAGAGTGAGAGACGGAGATCCCTTTAATAATGGTGGAGATAAGCCACACCGTGAGGAGATACACGCAGTGCCGAGGGGATGAAGGATGGGGATGGCGGTGGAGAGATGTTAACTACCTCGCCTGGTGTACAGGAGGTCGTGGGTTCGATCCCGACCCTGACGCTTGCTTTATCTTTGGAGTTTGCGGTGTGTCTCTCTCTCCACGTGGTCGCGTGGATTTTTCTCCGGGTCCTCCGGTTTTCCAAACCCCCACGTTTAGAATCAACATCCATGCGTTTAGAGCGCATTTGGCTACTTACTGTAAATGTCCACGTGATAAGCCATCATTTGTGGCCAAGTTTCTTCTGAAAAAGAGCCGTCTAGCTTGGTGGGACTTATCTGGTAAAATAAAATAAATATATCGTTTAGTTTTGAGGTGGTGGGTGCACCGCGGGACGCCGGCCACCCGAGTTCAAATTCCCGCTCACCGGGCCTCCCCTAGGTCGACTCAGCCTCAAATGAGTCCCCGTTGCCGTGTGTAAACATCAAAGGCGTGGTGTTGGCCACCCATCCCCCCTCATGTGCCGTGCCGGCCTTCACAGGTGCTGCTCGCTAACAGGTCTTGAACTTGGCATTTGTATTTTGGGCGATCTAACGCGCAATTTTTTTTTTAAATAGATAATATTGATCGCGGAAGCCCACGTGTTAAACTGACCAGATCGGTGACACTTGGGGATGGAGTCATTATTAATTGATCGTTCTTGATTTGAAGCGTCCATCATCAGGTGTAATGTAACGACGGACGCTTGTGTTGCCCCCGAAACGTCGTGATTTATTTTATTTGATACCTACGTGACTTTACCGAAGGAACCAAAGAGTAATTGATCGTTATTCGAGGCTGACGCAATTCATGTCATTCATGAGAGTCGCCGTTAATGACCACAGACGTGAGTGCGGATTCATGAATGACGCTACCAATGGCACCACCGATGAATGCCAAAAAATGAAGCAGGCGTCGTTAAGTTGGTCACGAGCAGCCGAGGAAAACGGCTCGGTGGCGAAGCGAGAGATGGGGGGGGGGGGGGGGCAGATGATGAAAGAGTCGCAATGGTTCTCATCACCGCTTTCGAACTGGGTCCGGAATGAGCCGGGACTATGAATGTTGAGGAGCGAGGCACGTCAATAAGATGGGAGTGCGGTCGAGGTGAGGATCTAGAGGAGAGGGAGGTAAGTAACTCAGCCAGGCCATTAACTGGTCAAAGGTGTGTTGCGTCATTCGCGACGAATAGGTCCTCGTACGGAGTCAGTCATGGTTTGGGGAAAAAAAATACTCGGGTCATCTTAAAAATAATAATAATAGGGCGCCACAAGAGCTATATACCTCTTTTTGAGAAGCGACCTGGCCACAAATGATAGCTCAACGAAGTGGCTTATCACGTGGAAATGTATTGCGGCCAAACACTCTAAACGCACGTTGTGTCTAAACGTGGGGCGAAAAACCAGAGGAGCTGGAGAAAAATCCACGTGACCACGGGGAGAGAGACAGCGAGAGACTGCAAACTCCAAACATAGAGCAGCAGGCATCGTCAGGGTCGGGATCGAACCCAAGACCTCCTGTATACAAGGCGAGGCAGTTAACATCTCCCAGCCACTCTTCCCTACCCCTCTTGTTACTTTGGGAAGGATTTCAAACCCCATCGCGCCCGGGGCTAAGCCGCGTGTCGGTGACGCAACGACGTTAGAGTCTTGATTGAAAGCTTTCGTGACTGCAGGGATTCATTTTCTTGGTTATTTTGGTAAAATCACGTAGAAGGGAAACAATAAAATAATAAAATAATGTTTCCCTTCTACGTGGCTTTACCGAAATAACCAAGAATATGACGTTAGAGTCCCTCGCTCAGGAACGTCTCCTGCGCTGTGCCCAACTTCGCTGCCACCTCTCGCTGCAAGCGTCTGCCGCCCCTCCACGCGTCTCCCGCCTCTCAATCCAAGCGTGCGTGCGGCAGAGGCTGGGGCGGGAGGAGGACAACGCGTGGAGATGAAAGCGGCAGGGACGGACATTCTGTGGTGCTTCTTTTACAAAGCTTCGGGGTTAACCCAAGTGCAGGCTGCCGGATTGCGTTACCGACGCAGCCGCACGGTAACCGCCTCCGCCCGCGTGAGATAACCTTTCTGTATCTCCCTCGCAGCACGGTAGGATGGCGTGCCTGGTTGGCCCCGCCGCCCCTTCCCTCACGCTCCCTGCACCACCCCTCCCGGAGCCTAGCGGGGACTTCCCGGCGTGGCTGGAGGCGCAGGGCGTGAATGCGGAGGTGGCCCGGGCCATGGACTCGGAGCTGGGCATCCGGGACTACGGGGTCCTGCGCGCCTGCGTCGGGGACGGCCTCGTGCGGGCCGAGCTGCTGGCCGCGGCGCGCGACCGCCTGCCCTTCGGCTTCTACGCCGTGCTGCGGCGGTTCGTGGCGGCGCTGCTGCCCGGACGACCCCCGCGCGCCGTCCATCGGCGCCGCCGCCGGTGCCGCCGCGGTGAAGGACGCGACGCTGGTGAGCCTGGTGGAGGCGCTGCTGGCGCTGCTCGCGGGGCTGAGCCGCGAGTTCTCGGCGTGCGTGGGCCGGCTCGACGCGATGGACATCGGAGCCCTCGCCGCGGCCTCGAGCGCCGGCGGCGGAGAGGGCGCCCACGGCCTCGCGGCAGCCGAGGAGGGCGCGGAGGGTGGCGGCGAGCGTCCAGGTGAACGTCGAGGCCATAGCGAGCGTCGCTTCGGGGCATTGATCGATCGTTAATCATCAGAATCTTTTACTTATTGCTGCAGGAATTTGATGAGATGTAAAGCTCTTTTTCACTCGACGTTTGGTAGGGGGCACGGGGTCAGAACCTTACAACAACAAACAATACAAAAACATGGTAAGAGTGCAAAGTATAGGAAAGGTAAACAAATAACTTAACAACATGTACAAATATTAACTAAACGATTATTTTTGTTTTACTCAAAGCTTTCGTGACTGCAGGGATTCATATTCTTGGTTCTTCACCGAAAGAACCAAAGAACATAAACGATTATTGTTTATCGTACCGGGAAAACCCGCCTTCAGAAGCGTCCTGGCCACAAATGATAGCTCAACGAAGTGGCTTATCACGTGGACGTTCATAGCACGTTGATTGTAAATGTGGAGGGGGAAAAAAAAAGAGCCGGAGGACCTGGAGATAAATCCACGGGACCACGGGGAGAGGGAGAGAGACACGCAAACTCCAAATATGCAGACGTCAGGGTTGGGGCTCGAACCCACGTACTCCCGTACACCAGGCGAGGGAGTTAACATCTCACCACCACGGCGCCCTAATGGGTTCACGGCACCTGTTGCATCGCGTTGCCACAGGCTACTACCATTCACCACATTGTCAAACAAAACCGATTTGGCTCGTGAATTGAATTGCAACCATGATTCACGGCAATTTGTCACACCACCGGTGGGGGCGGTGCGAGGTGGGGGTGTGTGGATGTTGGGGGGGGGGGGAATGATGAGGGTGAGTAATTCTTCCGCTAATAGTGTCTCTGGCGATTGCGAATTTTTTTTCTTGACTGAGGCGCGGTTGTATTTCCCAGATCAGTGTGGAGAGGCCCATTCTGCGGCGTGGAATGAACTGAAAAGAGAGACGTGTTACACGAGCCAAGGTAAGGCGATTTCAAGCTCATGGAATGGGTGGTGCAGTTGGGTGCAGTGGATAGTTGGCGCGCACCGTCCTGCGAAATCTGGCGACCTGAGTTGGATTCTTGGCCGCGTGTCTTTGGCGCCGTCCATAAATGACGTCACGCACCTAGGGGGGGGGGGTGGGGGGGGTTAAGACATTTGTGACGATGTGTGACGAGGGGGGGGGAGGGGGGTTTGAGGAATGTGACGTCACATCAAAATGTGCAACTTTAAATAAATATAGACAACACATTCTACTTAATTAAAAAAACTTTTTAATAAATGTTTTCTCCTACAACATCAGAGTGTGGCGCCACATTAAATACGCACTACAATGACAATAGTTTAAAGCGATTTGAAGCAGAACTTTGTTCTGGGGGGGTCTGACTTTGTGTGACAGGGGGGGGGGGGTCAAAAATCTTTAAAATCGCGTGACGTCATTCATGGATGGCCCCTATGAAGGCCGGCACACGAGTTGATTAACAAATAAAACGCAAACACCTTCGTCGATAACACTGCGTGGCCTTAAAATAAAAATACATAATCGGCGACGTTTCAGGCAACGGGCCTACGTAGAGGTGCCAGAAAGATAGACTGCATACAGGTTGGACACTGCACTTAGCATCACGGGGCCTGATAATAATTGCCTTCTCAGAATTTTACGATTAATAATCATTAACAATGTTAGGCCCCATCAGGCCCCATCGGTGTTAAGTGCAGTCTGCAACCCTTATGAAACATGCATCTTTATTGTTTAGATTGCTTTTCTGCTTTAAATTTCCACATGATAAGCCACTTAGAAAAACATTGAAGTGCTCTTGGCACTGTTTGTTCACACAACTGCATTCATTGCACAGTTTGCTATGTGCGGTGTGAAAGAAGTTCAACATACGTACGTACATTCACGCACAGTGTGGAAACTATTTTTATTTTACCTGGTAAGGCCCACTGAGCTGTATAGCTCTTTTTCAGAAGCGGCGAAGTGGCTTATCTCGTGGAAATTGATAGCAGCCAGATGCTCTAAACGCATGACGTTGATTCTAAATGTGGAGGGACACCGCGGGTAAGCCGGAGAAAAATCCACGTGACCACGGAGAGAGAATGTCAACTCCAAATATACAGGCATCAGAGTCGGGATCGAACTCACGACCTGTAGACCTGGGAAAGTATTTAACATATTCGCCACTTCATTCTACGCCAAACAGACGGAACGGGTGGAGTCCACATTTTTTCTGCGGCCGCACTTTTACTGGTGTAGTGTTCGACTTTACGCGGACAACTTCTGTCTTTCTTCGAACACCGCTTTATTTACAACATTCAACATGTCCTCCACCCTCCACAGTATCCTGGTCACCACGGCTCGCTCGCCGTGCTCCGCTCGTCTCGCTCACCACCTTTGTCTCCCCACTATCACTTCACTTGCTTCACACTCAGCGACTCCCCGTTCAGCAACTCCGCACACAGCGTCTTCAGCTCCGCTATCGCTTCGCTCTCTCCACTGCTAACTACTTCGTCTTGCTTCACACTCTGTTCCAACTCTGTTTCCCACTCTGTCTCCAAACTCTGTTTCCAAACTCTGTTTCCAAACTCTGTTTCCAAACTCTGTTTCTACTCTGTTTCCAACTCCACGTCTTCCTCGTCCAGCTCCCAATTCCAACTCCCTGCTCTCTGTGTCTCCCCCAATTTATCCCCATTCTCATTATCGCTAATTTATTGGCCCGCGTGCCTCCGCAGCTTCGCGTCCTCAAACACCTGCCTGCCTCCAGACATCTCGACGCCTCCTCGCCCTTGACAACAGCCACAGCCCATCACCGCCGTTGCTGATCCTCTGGCTTAATTGGCCCAACCGTTACCTCATCATCCCAGCCTTTGCACCTGGCTGTCCTAACACGACCCACACTGTTTTCGCCTTCTCCGCAGGCTGACCCCAGATAACCCCACACTGTCCGTGTGATCATGCAATCGCGCAGTTTCCACAACACACCTTCATACTCCACTACACGGTAGCTCCACGCCCACGGGGGAAGGGAATTTTCGCAACATTTCTGCGACCCATCAAACCCTCGCTGTGCCTCCAATACTGCCGGATGCAGGCGTGTGTAGCCACAGCACTGCAAGTAATTCTGCAGTCACGTAATTAATTTGTCGCTCGCCTCTTCCCTTGTGGCCAGGTGAAACGAGCGAGGTCCCGGTCCCGATGTGGCCAGAGATCAAAACGGAGCCAGTGGATCTCGCTCAGGGTAAGGCGTTTTGCGAGGCCCTGGACCGGCTTGCTCACCCACTCTTGGTGGTTTTCCTGCCACACTTGAATCATCATCATGCCCATCTGCATCACGACCCATGGGGCAGATAGCCCGTCGGTGTCCACTGCACATTTCTTCATTTTGTTTCCACTTTCCTCTGTCTTGCAGTGCCAATATGCTCAAGTAGTGTCCACGTCTCTCTGGCACGAATCTCTTATGATGTTGTCGTCAAGCAATTCTCTATCCGGTTCTTTCCCATTTTTTCCCGAACGACACACTTTTCATTTTCCTGTTGTCCATCCCACACGTGTGTCCAAATAGTGCCAGTTTCCTTCTCGTCACTGCCCGCATCCTCAGGTCTTCTGCTATGTGCAACCTTTTTCTCACCTCGAAGTTGATCACACTTACGGCTCTTGGCAGTATCGTGTAGGCCCGCGCCGTTTCGGTAATGGGCAGTGTTATCCGTTGAATGATGTAATTTTGGTGACGATGTAGGGATTGCGATACGCTACTCCACGACATGACTTTCATGATTAACGATTCAACAGCTCTGACTCATCATACAGAGCGCTTGCGATTAGGACTGTTTAGCCGTTATCGATTTCTAGACAATAATTTTCGGAATCGCCAATCACTTCTCGAAAGTTATGCCGTTCGAGAGTTGAATGCTGGTATATTTTAGCGACGAATTTTAACCCGATTGGAAGACGCGCGAGCGTCCAAGCTGTACGGCGCGTTGCGACCGGTCGGCTGGCAGCCCTCATTAGGCACCGGCGGCAGGGCTCATTGGTGTGACCGCACGGTATGCTCCAGCAAAGACAAAGATCTCCCCCCCCGCCCCCCCCCCCCCCCCCCCCCCCCCCCGTAGCTTTCACAGACTGTAGGGGCAAGTGGTGTTAGCGAGTAGCATCGATGAAGGCCCGGCATGGCACGCAAAAGGGGTGTGGGTGGCCAGCACGACGACGCCCGACCGTCTTTGCCTCCCAAAGTGGCGATGGTTACTACGTACCGCACCAGGTCCTCATAGGCACACGCAGGGCTCGACTTATATTTCGATACGATAACCAATTGTATTTTTTTTTATAAAAAAAAAACGTGCTGGACGCAATCACCGATAACCCAAAAAAATACAATGTCAACAACGCTACGTGAGTTGCGACCGCTCTGCAATGGTGCCGTCACATAATGGAAACCCGATGACTCGGCATCCGATCTCTTATAGGGCCAAGCGCAGTGAGCAGTCGCTGCCCGACGATCGCGTTCGTCGGATCGGCCTGTCGGCAGACTGTGGACGACGAGCTCGCCGCACTCACGCCAGACGCAGTCGCGCTCGCGCAGCCGCGGTTGGAGGAGGAAGGGGCGGGGTGGGAGGGGGAAGGGGCGGAGTGGGAGGGGGAAGGGGGGGAGGAGGAGGTCTGCGACGATGAGGCTGTCATGGCCGCCACCGCCACGTTCGCGGCCGACACGCGCGTCGCTCCGGAGCAGCGGAACGACCCGGCAGAGCATTCCGCCGCCGCCTTCGCCGCCGCCTTCGCCGGCGTCCCGGACGCCGGCAGGAACCACCGCCCGGAGCGGTCGCGGCCGTGCAAGCGCTCGTTCTGCGAGCGGCGCTTCGAGGAGCCGGCGTACCTCAAGCGGCACGAGCGCACGCACGCGGGCGAGAAGCCGCACCGCTGCGACGCGTGCGGGCGCGCCTTCGCGCGGCGCTCGGGCCTCGAGTACCACCGGCGCGTGCACACGGGCGAGCGGCCCTACGGCTGCGAGGTGTGCGGCCGCGCCTTCGCCCAGTACGGCAACCTCAAGGTGCACCGGCGCACTCACACGGGCGAGCGGCCGCACCGCTGCGACGTGTGCGGCCGCTCGTTCACGCTCTTCTCGGGCCTCAAGTACCACGCGCGCACGCACACGGGCGAGAAGCCCTACCGCTGCGACGTGTGCGGGCGCTCCTTCTCGCAGTGCTCCAACATGAAGACGCACCAGCGCACACACCTGGCCGCGGCCGCCGCCAACACCTGCCCGTGATCGCTCGTAGCTCGTCGTCGTCGTTTTTATTTTTATTTAACCAGGGTGAAAGTGAACGGTGCAAACCCCTGTAATTGCTCGCTGCTGGCGGAAGGCCATCAGCACTAGAGGGAGCTTAAGGGAGCCACTCTACAAGGCGTTTTGGTTAGACTCTTCCATGTTGGCCCGGACGGCCCAATAAACGATTTTGATCTTTCTTGCTTCTGCCCCCCACAACCCCCTTACACTGTAAAAAGCTGCCCCTACGCGTCAAAGGATCCGCTTCACTGCCCAGTTTTCGTTCATCCCTTAAAACCGCTCGCTTACTCTTCCCTCGGTTACTCAAACACCTCTTCCCCGTCACTTAACGCCATCCCTCTTCCCGACTTCCCTGCCCATCCATCGCACTCGCTCATCGTGAATCGCTCATTGTCACTTTCATCATCTTCTTGGTTCTTTCGGTAAAGTCACGTAGAAGGGAAACAATAAAATAATAAAAATAAAACAATAAAATTATCCCGACGTTTCGACTGCAACACAAGCAATCGTCATCAGGTGCTGTGGGTTTCACTCCGTGGAATATCTGTCCCCCCCCCCCCCCCGCACTGTTCTTCATGCTTTGTGCTGGATTCTGGTTCAATAAAATAGAGGCCGCCCTAGAATGTAGCAGTGATGTCGAGGTCACGACCTTTGTGAGCTGGCGTGGTGGGTTTTTCTTGCCGGCCATGACGCCGAGCATTGCCTGCGGGGAAAGAAATCGTGAAAAGTGAAGAGCCGAAGATCGTTCGGAGTCTTTGCCTACGACTGTGGCTTAATGACCGATCGCGTAACTGACCGGAAGCTTCCGCTGTCCAAATAGTTGAATTCTTTGTTCAGCGCCTTGATCAAGGCGCTCTATGAGTTTAAATAAGATTAGTACAATCTAGATTTGAATTTTTTGTGACTGCAGGAATCCATACTCTTTGGTTCGTTTGGCAAAGTCACGTAGGAAGAAAAATTAAATAACAAAAAATAGTTTATCACGATGTTTCGATCGCAACACGAGCGGTCGTCCTCGGGCGGAAAAAAAATAAAAATACTCCAGCAGTGGAACTGCTGAACCGGCGAGAGAGCATTTACAACACGAGGTTATTAACCTCTTAAAACGTCTTGATGTGTTATTTTTTGTTTTGTTTAATTTTTCTACCTACGTGACTTTACCGTAAAGACCGAAGAGTAAGGTGAGTACCCAGAATGTTATTCGACAACACGCGACAGCCCCATCAAACCAACTTCTTTACGGGGCGATAAAGGAGTAGCCACGTTCAGTCACAGCCCCCTTCTTGTCAGTGCCCGGCTGGAGGACGGAGGCCTTCTCACCACGCTGCGTCGCTCGTTCTGGGATTTGTTCCACCGTGCGCTTCTCCACGCTGGCCAGCGAGGTGTTGGTGAATGGGGCCAGGGAATGGGGAGCGGCACCCGTTCACATAGCGCTCGCCGCCGACGTTAGCCCTGGCCCGGGAATCGAACTTGTCTTGAACCCTCGGTGCTGATTGGTAGCGAATCATCGGCTATTCACTCAGAACGGTTTGTATATACTGTGTTTCATTGGTATTGAACAAAGCGCGTTTGGCAAGAATGCATTTGTTTCATAATACGTGTAAATATATAAATGTGTCGTTAAACCCGCCACCACCCGACACACCCAATTAGTAAGGTTTGTCACGTAAACAAAACGTGGCACATTCATTACTAGTGTAGTGGCAGGGTTGGCCACGATCGCCACTACTCATAGCCGGCAGTACAAGCGCAGGCCAGTAGAGAGCAGAAGGGAGGCCGGACCTGCTCAACAGTAATGATGGGCAAGTTGGCCCTAGGCAATCCCTGGTGGGGGGGGGGGGGTGAGCATCGGGACCAACGGTTGGGACCCCAGGCCCCCGGAAGGGGGCTGGGGGATGAAGTCATTCTCCAGGGCCTTCGAGAAGGTTCTGTAAGGGAAGGGAGGCGTGGCCAGGGGCGGAGTCAGCCGGGACGGCCCGAGTCGGTATCGTCCGGCTGAAGACTGAAGCCCGACCTGGAGCCCTGAAGAGAGAAGAGCCCTGTGGGCAAAACCGAACCCCTGGCTAGGGTGAGGCTTGAGCTGTACAGAGCTTATAACAAGAGAAGACTCAAGCCCCGGCAGTGTAGGCGCAGCGATAGCCAGAAGAGGCGAGCTAGCCGGCTACGTAGAGCATCGGGTGAAGGGGGCCGTTACCCCTTTGTATTGTAGCTTGTTGAGTTGTTAAATGTTATAAAAACGTGTGGGCCTCTAAGTGGAAGTTCCCTCCAGTTTATTACCCACTACACTAGTACAGCAACACCGGTTGTATGTTGGAGAGTAAACCCACCGGATGTGTATAAACGTCTGTGTATGCAACATCGCTGTGCTACGTTTCATGATCAAGCTCAACTTTCCAAGAGCACTTAACTCACTCTGGTTTTGCCTGCACCTGCATATCTGATGCATCTCCAAAGCCTCCCGTGAATTGTGCGTGACCCATCCCCATTGAATCCCTAACCTGTCACCTGTACTTCTCCATATAGACCAGACGAATCCTCCCGTAAATCACGTGCCTTCTTGTGTATCCCCCCCCCCAACTCTGAATCGCGATACTATTTCACCCCCCCTCCACACCGCCTGTGAAAACAGACGTTTCGGGCAATGGGCCCTGATTCATAGCGCACGGAGAGGCCACATGAGAGAGACATTGAGTGGATAACATGAGTCGGGCACCTGCACCTGTTCCATAGCTGTCAACCCATACGGGTTACCCCGTATTCGTGTGCAGGGAAATTTCGTATTCATGTCCATACGACGAACAGCCGTTTCAATACGGGCAACATTTTTATATTTTTTGTCTATTTATTTGTGTTTCTCCCCTTGTGATGGGACTTTGTAGGGTGAACGTTGAAATGTATTAGAGGCACGGGGTGACCAATTAGGTCTGAATTGTTTCGTAATCAGGTAGGCACTGATAAGGGGTTGAGAGGTATGTAATACACTATACGCTACTATACACTACACTATACACTACATTACTATACACTACATTACTATACACTACTATACACTACACTATACACTACAATATTATACACTACATTACTATACACTACAGTCTACACTATTATACACTACACTATTATACACTACACCAGGGGTGTTCAAACTACGGCCCGCGGGCCAACTGCGGCCCACCATACATTTTTAATTGGCCCGTATCAAAGTCTAAAAATATAATGGACTATGGCCCACTGTATTGCACTTCTTAGTTTAAAAACTAGGTGGCGCTATTGTCTTGATCAAAGCAGCGTGTCCACAAAGCAAGCAATCGAAGAAAAAATTTGCTCAGGGTCACCAGAAATGCCGGAACCGAAGAGACGCAAGATTGCAAGCGAGTGCAGAAAATTTCAGACTCGGTGGAAAAATGAACTTTTTTTTCATAGAAACCAAGGGGAAGTGTGTTTGATTGATTTGTAATGAGAGTGTTGCCGTGATGAAAGAGTACAATGTACGACGGTATTATGAAACGAAACATCAGACTTTAAATTTTTATTTAAAGCTTTCGTGACTGCAGTGATTCATATTCTTGGTTCTTTCGGTAAAGTCACGTTGAAGGTAATTTGTTTTTGTTTCCCTTGTTTCCCTTCAACGTGACTTTACCGAAAGAACCAAGAATATGAAACATCAGACCTTCACGTCCTACACTGGCGCCGAGCGTAAAGAGAAGGTAAAGCAAATGGCAGCTAGCCTGCTAACGCAGCAGCAGGTTTGTTTTCCGTGCTAACAAAGCTCAAGAAAATGCAACAATGGCCAGTTATGAAATAGCTCAACTCATTGCCCTACACGGGAAACCATTCTCAAACGGTGACTTCATCAAATAGTGCCTCACTAAAGTCGTGGGAATAATGTGCCCGGAGAAAATTCAGGATTTCAACGATGATAGCATGTCCAGAAATATGGTTGTGCGGCGAATTGAAGACTTGTCGGCTCACTTAAAACAGCAAGTGTCAGATAAAGCTTGTGCTTTCGCACAGAT